TGTCTCTAAGATAGTAAAAAATTTTCATCAATAAACATTGGACTGTTATCGTTCAACTATTACTATCTTGATATTGAACTATTATTGTTTGACCTCTCCTCAGATTTTTAACTAAATTCAAAGTTATAAAACTCCACCTCAAGCAATATTGGTCTCGTTGGAAAGGTAAGACACGAGGCTATAAGTTCTCTAAAGGAAGGAGAACCTAGTTCCGCCTTTAAAACAGTCAAAATTGCTCATCAATAAATATTGGACTGTTATTATCCAATTGTTACTGTCTTGATATTAAACTATTACTGTCCAACCTCTCCTCAGATTTTTAACTATATCTAAAGTTATAGAACTTCATTTCAAGTGAGATTGGTTTTGTTAAAAAGTTAAGACATGAGGCTACAAGTTCTCTACAGGAAGGAGAACCTAATTCTACCTCTAAGACAGTCAAAATTGCTTATTAACAAACTAGTGACAATGTACATGTCTAAAAGAAAGAGAACCTAGATCTGCCTCTAAGACAGTAAAAATTGTTTATCAACAAACTGGTGACAATGTACATGATATGAAGGAGAACAATATATCCAAATATCATTTTGATCCAACGGTGGAAGGTGGAGTTACAGCTGTCGGATATTCTGCCATCAATATGTCTTCTTTCCAACCTCTCTCTAACCTCTCTCTTGCTCTTGCAAGTCACTTCAAGAGAGAAAATAAAATGATATTTATCATTCTATCATCTTGTTAATTGCACATTTATCCTCACCCCCTTTTTATCATTTGTACATAAACTCCCAACCTTTTGTTCTTTGAATAATGACATTTCTTGGTCTTATGTATTCATTTGTCCTTATAAATATTTTTCTTTTCAACAATTCAGTAGTATATTCACTTTTCATTTCATTAATTTCACTATTTTTATCTTGACTTAGGTTTCTTTAATTTCATTTACCCAATTTTACTATTAGTTAAATTTCTCATATTTTAACAACCCAGAAAAATTATAACTGAGGGTTTACATGTCATAAGTTAACTATATGCATTGTACTTGGATTTAAATGTCGTAAGTTAACTATATGCATTGTACTTGGATTTCATTAATACTCCCTCAAATTTTAAAACATGTTTATGAATTTGATGTTGTAACAAGACCTTCATACACTCAAGTTGCTTAATAGTCTTTTAAGGTAGTACTTTTATTAAGGATATGTAATGTAACAAAATAAAGTATTAGTAGTATGAACATATTATGCCATTTTGTGTAAATTGTAATGTATTGAATCTTAATCTATATAAATGTAGTAAGTTGAAATTTTCATATATTATTTTAATTGAAATCCTTCGGTTTATTTAAATTCTATTTATATAATTTATGTCAAGTATAAATTGAATAAGTGACATACTTACTGATAGTAGAACTTATATCAAGAAGTATATTGATTGGATGACATATTGAGATGTATTGATGATCGAATGGTATTATAATAGTATAGTTGATAGCTTGGTATAGGCTATATACAAAGGTGACTCTGCTAAAATTTTAGTAGAATATAAAAAAAATTCACACCAAATTTTTCAATGTATTCAAAAAATAAGATATTAAAATTTAGGGTCATTACAATATATGGTTAGTAGGAAGAAATTTTAGGTAAGGTTTTATATAGAGGAAGCTCTCTGAAATTTTATTAAATTTAGATGAATTAAACTCGTTTAAGTTAGATTTCACATCCATATTTTTGAACTTATGTATGAAAATAATTTTGAATGTTGTGATATACAATAGAAAAGATCCCCATAATAATGTATGAAATGATAAGGCAAACAAAATCTTATTGGAAAAGGGAAAATGTGAAGGTGGTTGGGAAAGTGTAGGAAAAACATATCATAATTAGACAAGTGTCAAACAATTGACAAATTTTATATTTGAAATTATAATCTTAAATTTTCAAATCTCATATATATTTAACAAATATTTTTACAATGTGTTTCTTGATTTATTATATAATGCCCACAAATATAGAAAAACCCATGTTAACATTTATGATGTCGAGGTATGGAAAAAGTATAAATTGAGTCATGTCACAAAGAATAATTAGGTGAAGTTTCAAAATATTATGGCATCAAAAGAATTTAAAAGGCAATCACAATCCAAGTTGCAAAACTGAAACAAAGAAAGACATGATCTTGTAAGCAAGTATATTGATGGATCGCTTTTATTTATCAACAATGCAAATCCCCTAATATGGTTTTTAAATTATTTTTTTTAATTTTTAATTGATTTTTTATATGTTTAGATTTTCTTACAATTCTTTTTTGGTGGAACAACTTTTTGGGTGTGAGCCTGATGAAGTTACATGAGGAAACTTATATAATAAAGGTAGATGGGGAGAAAGAAGTGAAGAAGTTTGTAGATAGAAGAGCTGACGTGTTCATTGTAATTTTTTTTTTTAATTCTTGTGATTTTTATAATTTTTTTAATTATAAATGACATTTTTTAGGAAACATATAATGGCTGACGAAAATTAGCTGGTACATTTTATGTTTTTGATGCCAGTATTCCGTTGGCATTTCTGCCGGCATTACAAATTATCGAAAATGCCCACGAATAGTAAATCCCTGATAAAACTTTTTTTTGATGATGTCTTTACATCTGGAAATCCATCGATGATGTAAATGGCTAAGGAAATGGTGTTTGCTCGCCGACGGAATATTTTGTCAGTGTTTTTAAATTTTTTGTTGGTGTGTGTCGGTCACATGCTAAGGTGGCGACAATTTCCATTCAGTTTTCATTTTTTCTGGGAACAATCTATGTAGATCAAAAGTTTAGAACAATATGATTGGAAAAGGCGCTTCTACAGAGTCCAAATAATTTGTCGAGGTCTGTTGGGAATTTCGACCGGTGATGTTCTGATACTTGCTCATAGGAGAGCCAAGCACACTGACACAATATTTAACGTGGTTCGGCAAAACCGCCTACATCCACGGGAGAAGTCAATATATTTAGAGATAGAGAAAGAATACAAAACAAATACATGGAGGAGGAGGATTACACCCTCTCATACTCAACTCTCAACTCTCTTTGCTGCACTTGCAGCTGCTGCAATAGCAGCAAGGCTGCTGCCATTGCAGCTCTCTCTTCCATGGCAGCAGGGCTGCTGCCATTGCAGCTCTCTCTTCCTCTCTACTCTCTTCACATTTTCATAATTCTCTTCACTCATTTTGCTCTCTTGCATATGCCTCTATTTATAGGCATTCATGGAGGCTTTTCTTCAACAAAGGTGGCTGCCAACTCCAACTCTTCTTCAACAATGGTGGCTGCCAACCTTTGACATCTTGGATGAGTGCACATGGTTGGTGCAATAGCAAATGGTTGTTGCATATTAATGGCAACCAACCTAACAGGGTCGTCTTTACTTCATAGAGATTCTAGACGAAGGATTATTCATAGAGATCTGAAGCCATGTAACATCTTGTTGCAAGACTGGATGAATCCAAAAATTTCAGACATGGGACGACCAAGATCTCTGGTGGCAGAGAAGATCAAGAGAATGCTATTGAGTAGACTTTTCTTTCCTATTTTCTACTGTATTGAAGTATCAAAGGTTTGAGCTAAGAAACAATTTTTCTTATGGAGTGGTTTACATGTCCCTTGAATATTTATGGGAATGGCTGTTTTCAAAGACGTCAAAGGTTTTTTAGCTTTTGATGGAGGAAAAAAAGTCCAAAGATTGCTACAATAACTGGCTGAAGTCTGTAGGGCCACATAAGGTCGAATAAAAAGATTTCAACTACGCCATATATAAGCTTGGCACCTAAAATATTATATCATGGTGATGCATTATCAATGTGATGATACAGCAACGTCTTTAGACCGGACAGGCTCTTCAGACTTCTTCAGTATAAATTGCCTCTTTCTTAGAAACATAAATATTGCAGGCAAATTCAAAATAGACCAAGTGCGAATAAAGCTACTTTCAAATAAGAATGTCAAGAGCTTCTTGATAGTGCCTACCAGGAACATGTCAATGAAGGTGAGTCAAGTGTATGTATTGTGATAATATCCTATAAAAATAAAAATGCTATCGATCTCGCAAGCTAGTCGACCAGGTCCATCCTGATGAAATATCACTATTTTAGCACTTTCTTTATAGATGGAAATTTACAGATAACGTAAAAATTTATGACTTTTGATTGCTTAACTGAGTTTCTATTTGAAATATAACCTCATGACTGGGAACAAAAAGAACATGAAGAGAGATATTCTTCTTCATGGAATTCTTTCTCTGAACAGTCATGAAGTCATTTGTTAGTCTTCCATTCTCATCAATAACAAGTATGGGACTCGGCAACTGCGAAGTTGCAGTAGCTGTTCTTCTGTTTCTATCGTGTTCCTGTTCAGTTTATGGTGAAGCAGGAGATACCATTACTCCTTCTCAACCCATCAAAGATCCAGAAGCTATAGTCTCTGCCGACAATAAGTTCGAACTGGGATTTTTCAGCCCAGTTAATTCAACATATCGATTTGTCGGAATATGGTATTGTAATATATCAGCAGAAACTCAAGTACTCTGGGTGGCCAACAGAAACAACCCAATCAACGATTCTTCTGGGATGATGACAATATCTGAAGATGGAAATCTTGTGGTTTTGAATGGTCAGGAAGAGGTTCTGTGGTCGTCAAATGTTTCAATTGGGCTCTATCAGACAACTGCACAGCTTACTGATGATGGAAACCTTGTTTTGAAAGCTGGACCGAATGGAAACCTTGTATGGCAAAGTTTCCAGCAGCCTATGGATACTTACATACCAAAGATGACACTTAGTTCTAACGCAAGAACTGGGAAAAAGACACTGCTAAGGTCATGTAAAAGCTCATCTGATCCTTCTGTTGGAAATTTCTCTGCTGGTCTCAATCCATTAGGAATTCCTGAGTTCTTCATCTGGTACAATGGTCGTCCATTTTGGCGTAGTGGTCCATGGGGTGGTCAGAATTTTATTGGAATACCAGGAATGTATTCTTCTGTGTATTTAAAAGGATTTAGTGTACAAGAAGAAGCAGATGGCACTTTCACTCTTAGTTTAATTCAAGACCCAGTTATCCGTGCAACGTATGTTGTGACTTATAATGGAAAATTTATAGAACAATACTGGGATTATGAGAAGGGAGGTTGGGAGTATACCTGGGAAGCTCCATCAACTGAGTGTGATATTTATGGCAAGTGCGGGCCATTTGGAAGCTGCGATGCACAGAATTCACCTATCTGCACATGTTTAAAAGGGTTTGTTGCAAAAAATAAAGATGAATGGAACAGAGGAATTTGGACTAGCGGATGTGTTAGGATGACATCTTTGCAGTGTGATGGAATACAAAATGGTAGTGAAGTGGGAAAAGATGGGTTTATGAAGCTAGAGATGATGAAGGTGCCAACCTTTGCCGAGTACTGGTCATCTCCGTCATCCGAACAAGAATGCAAAGATGAGTGCTTGAGGAATTGTTCTTGTGTCGCTTATTCATATTATAATGGTTTTGGCTGTATGGCATGGACAGGAAACTTTATTGATATACAAAAGTTCTCTGAAGGAGGGACAGATCTGAACATTCGCCTGGCGTATACAGAACTTGGTAATAATAATAATATTTTCTGATTTCCTTTCACTAGTGTTTCGTTTATCAGATGTGCATAACTAGTGTAGATACATCGAGTTCTGTATCAGGAAGAGAAAATATTGATAAGTTTTTTCATATTTCCATTATACTTTTCTTAAATAACCATCAGTACAATTTTTTAGTTGCAGATAACAAGAGAAACATGAAAGTAATCATCAGTATGTCAGTGATTGTAGGAGCCATAGCTATCTGCATCTGTGTGTTTTTTTCTTGGAAGTGGATGGCTACACATAGAGGTAATATGCTACGTCGTATTAGCTTACTGGACTTCTAAACTTAACCATTTTTACAAGAAAAGAAGAAAACAATTCTCTAATAATAACGATACTTCCACTTCAATTCAGAAAGGAATTTGATAAGTGCGGAGACCTTATCGTCAGAAGCTCAAGAAACAGTTTTTGATGGAAACTTGCCCGAAAACATCAGGGAAGCTAAACTTGAACCATTCTTCAAATTACAAATTCTTGAAACTGCTACAAACAACTTTGACATATCCATGAAGCTTGGGCAGGGCGGCTTTGGTGCAGTATACAGCGTAACTCTTCTCAACTAAAGGTTCTTTACAGTTATTTAGAGCAAATAGGTATTTATCAGTTTGATATGACATTGCAGGGAAAATTGCCAGATGGACAGGAAATAGCTGTGAAAAGACTTTCTAGAACTTCTGGTCAAGGGCTCGAAGAGTTTATGAATGAAGTCGCGGTGATTTCTAAACTCCAACACAGGAATCTTGTGAGACTTCTTGGTTGCTGTGTTGAAGGAGAAGAGATGATGTTGGTTTATGAGTACATGCCGAATAAAAGCTTGGATGTATTTCTCTTTGGTTAGGGCTACAGCTCTGCTTTGTTTAGCTACTACTTTTCTTGACTCATTTTCAATTTCATAGATCATAAGTTTCAAGCAGGAGAAGCAGATCGCTACTTTTCTTGACTCATTTTCATTTGCCCTTGTTTTCTCATGATGTTTTCTGGATACAATCTGTTTAGATGCACTCAGGAAAGGACAACTAGATTGGAAAAGGCGCTTCCACATTATTAATGGAATTTGTCGAGGTCTTCTTTACCTTCACAGAGATTCTAGACTAAGAATTTTTCATAGAGATCTGAAGCCAAGTAACATCTTATTGGACCACGAGCTGAATCCAAAAATTTCAGACTTTGGAATAGCCAGGATTTCTGGCGGCAATGAAGTGAATACTACCAGGGTTGTAGGAACCATGTAAGTATTTTTATTTTTTTTTCACTCCTATGACTGTTTCTCTAATTTGAGCTCAGAAAGCTGTTATGCTTATGCAGTGGCTTTATGTCCCCTGAATATTTAATGGAAGGAAGATTTTCAGAGAAATCAGATGTGTTTAGCTTTGGAGTTTTGTTGCTGGAGATCGTGAGCGGGAGAAGAAACGCTCATTTTTATAGCAATGAGCATGCTTTGAGTCTTGTAGGATTTGTATGCCTGTCCGCCACACTGTCTGAGATACATTTGGAAAGCACCTTTCAATTTCTGATACTATTAAACGTGCAAACTCTTACTTGTATGATTGTATCAACATTTGCAGGCTTGGAAACTGTGGAATGAAGGTGACATTGCAGCTTTGGTCGATCCTACAATATCAGATCCATGTTTTCAGGTGGAGATATTCCGATGCATGCATGTTTGTCTGCTGTGTGTGCAAGAATTGGCGAAAGATAGACCGGCCGTGTCAACTATCATTTCCATGCTAAATAGTGAAATTGTGGATCTTCCCACTCCAAAGAAACCAGCATTTGTTGAAAGGCAGAGTTCCTCGGGTACAGAGTCCTTTCCTCAGAGCCAGAAGATAAATTCCATTAACAATGTGACAATTTCTGATCTTAAAGGCCGATAGAGGTCAGAACATGTTTACTTTTCTGTTTGATCATTCTGAAATGTTATATAACATTACATTGCTTGGAATGACTTGGTAAGATTGACATCAGAAAGTTACTTTTGTGGTATTTGTATTCTACTTCCATATTAAAGAAAATAAGAAAACTCGGAATGTTGACAAAATGCTCGAAATGACGGCTTCTGTACCTCCGTTACGAAAAGATGTGTTTTCATTTAGAGAATCTCGGTCTGATTTACCTGCAAAAACAAAACACTGGAGCTTTGTCCACATGTTAGGTAGAATACGTTGCCACCGCCTTCACAGTTTGTGGTGCTATTTGGTTGAAGAACTTGCTGGCAGCAATGGGTCATTCAGCAGAAGACGATGACTATATAGGTGCATAACGAGGCAGCAATCAAACTAGCCAAGAATCCAGTACAACATGGGAGAAGCAAACACATCGGTATATTTCATTTTATTCGTGAACATGTAAAATAAAAGACAGTTGAACAAAAGTAATGTCAGCGGCAGATATTTTCACCAACCCAGAGTCTTTTGGAAGCTTTGTTAAGATAAGAGAAATGATTAGAACAAGGGAATTGCAGCTTGAAGGGGAGTGCAATTGGTTTCTACTATGTCTATATCTAAATTAGATTAGTTTCCAATTAGCTTTATCAGGATTGTTTAGATTAGTACGATTGTTCTTATCTTTAGCTTGTAATCTCCATGTATAAGGGTCATGAGAGCAGGATTCAGATTAACAATAATAAGGAAACTGCAAGTTTCTTCGTCAAAGCTGGGTTTGGCAGCTTGTTTACGAAACAGTTCATAACTATTAAAGATTATGGTCTTATATCATAATGTATAATAAAAACAATTCAATATATGAGCTCAATTATGTTAGATTGGTACCTAAAATATGCTATTATTGCACTGAAAATTTGTTTAAAAAACAGTCCTCATTATCATTGTGATGATATACAGCAAGTTCTTTTGACCTGCCTTTTTAGACTTCTTTGGTGTAAATAGCACTCGATGGTTTTAGAGTATAAATTTAATCATCACCCACGTAAATATTGCAGGCAGTGTCAAAATAGACCAACTAAAACAATAATTTTAAGAGCTTATAGGCAACACCTAACAGGAGCAGGTCAATCATCTGAGGCAGGTGAATGTCTTGTGAAAATATCATAGAAAAATAAAAATGTTATTTTCCAAGCTAGTTGATCAGGTTCATCCTGAATAAATTTCACTATTTTAATATAACAAGGTCAAAATTTTACAGTAAAACATAACCCTGCTTATGTAATATAACAGTGTGGTTAAACATTCTTTATCCAAGGAAAATAACAAAAAACATAAAAAAAATTCCTACTTTTAATTGCTAAACATAGTTTATCTTTGAAAAACAATATTTTGATTGGAATTAAGTAAAAGGACTGGAAAAGAAATATTCTTGTTCATGGCATCCTTTTTCTAAACTATCAGTTAGCCATTTGTTAGTCATCCATTCTCATCAATTACAAGTTATGGGACTTGGCAACTGCGAAGTTGCTGTAGCTCTTCTTCTGTTTCTATCGTATTCCTGTTCAGTTTATGGTTATGCAGTAGATGCCATCACTCTTCTCAACCCGCCAAAGATCCAGAAACTAGAGTACCTGCCGTAAATAAGTTCGAGCTTGGATTTTTCAGCCCAGCTAATTCAACAAACGATATGTCGGAATATGGTACAGTAATATATCAGTTGCAACTTAAGTACTATGGGTAGCCAACAGAAACAAGCCAATCAATGATTTTGTCACGACATGATCCCTGGATTCATGACTTGCAGATAAACAAGGTCCTCTATCTACGTTTTTTATCATATACGAACCTAAACTTGCATATAAATTTTTTTCTATGTAAATCGGAGGACTAAGTAGCATTTGCTATCATAATTAATTTCATAATAAATTTGCTATCATAATTACTTTCATAATATGTATTAACATCTTAATACAATCCTTAATATAGATTCAGCGAATATGGAGCATTTGACTAGACATAACATAATAGCATTAATTATAATAAAAAAACTTGGTTCTAGAAGTCCAAAAAAAAAATAACCTAATAAAATAATGTTATACGCCTAAAAATAATAAATAATAAAAAAGTAAATTTAGCAATACATTGAGTAAATAATATTTAATATATATTTATAATATAATACAACAATAAGTAATATATACAAGTTTGGCTTCTGTTTTTACAAGTGAGTTTCACAAGTAGTCATAATAAGAAATATCATGAGGTAATACTCATCATAAAATTAATATACAATAAACATGACATTTTAAAATATGAAAAGATTAGCCAATCACATGTTGGTGACTTCCCCTGCCAGCTATGATTTAAAATTATAATATATACAAAGTCTAACATTTCCATGTTAGTACGACTATTCTGACCAGAAGAGTAGTTGGAGCTCCCTAAGAACCCTTGTCTATTCAAACTCCAGCCTTTCACTGTATCCCATGCATTGAACTTACCTATTCAAACCTTGTAAGCTCAAAAATCTTTTTCATGTTTTAATGATGTTGTGCTGTGGCTATATGGGCTCCTCATGAATATGCAATGGAGGGTAGATTTTCGGAGAAATCAGATGTCTTCAGCTTTGGGGTTTTAGAGATTGTAAGCGGTAGAAGAAATGCTACTTTCTATTGGAATGAGCAAGCCTTGAGTCTTTTAGGATTTGTATGTCCATACAACTCAATGCATCATAAGTCATATGTAAAAGCTTGAATTTTCGTTTCCGACAAATTTTAAACTGCGACATGCTTATTTCTATTACTATTTCGCTTTGCAGGCATGGAAATTATGGAATGAAGGCAACATTTCAGCTCTAGTAGATCCCGTAATATCCGATCGAAGTTCACAGAAGGAAATATTTAGATGCGTACATGTTGGCCTACTGCGTGTTCAAGAGCTTCCAAAAGATAGACCAACAGCATTTACTGTCATTTCAATGCTGAATAGTGAGATTTCTTCTGTTTCAACTCCAATGCAACCCCCATTTGCTGAAAGGAAACGCCACTTGCGTTAAGAGACATTACTTCATCAAAGCCATCAACAATATCCCAGTAATAATGTGACACTCACAATTGTTGATGGCAGATAATAAGTTCCTGTTTCAATTATTTTTCTTGTAACGTATGCTGCTAGATCGTGGATTATCATTGTTGAAATGTGCAAACGTTAAATGTTCTTTCTGTTCTGTATTAAGGCTGAATCCGAAAATCCGACATGCCTCTCGAAGAGTAATATGGGCTTTTCAAGGTATTTTACTTATCCACTGAGACAATCTTGTTACTAACTGTGCTTTGATTGGTTTTAATGATTGTTTACTAGCTTTCCATCATATTCAGGCGCATGTATAATTAGAAGCTAAATCTATGCTCTAGGTTACAGATAACATAGGGCATCCACGTAGAATCAGAAATATGAAACAAAAAGATAGGCAGTTAAAGACAAGATTGGAACCCCTTTAATAATGAAACGTGGAGAAATCTACAAGTGCTAAACCATAGTTCTATTGATTCCGATAGCTGGCACACTGGTTTCTCTTTTCTACAAATTTTTCACACGGTACTCATTTCAAAATTTTCCGCCTCTTTAAGTTGTTTTCCCTTCATGCTATATATTATACTAGTGATAGCAGAGTCCTCCCTCATGTATCACATTAGCATCTAGCAGGATTTTCTCAGTGTTGAAGTTCTAATAGGTTTTTCATGAGTATTGTAGTTCCCAAATCTCCTAAAAAATTAAATTGGAAATTTTAGATTGTAATTTGGGCATGGAGGTATTCTGATGTAGCAGCAGATTTATGAACAAGATTAATAGGAAAACTGTCTTGTTGCGACAAATGACTTGACTCGCAAAAACGAGAATACATAAATTTTGATTCTACCTTTGGATGGTGCTCAAATTTCACAACTAGATTTTATAGACCATGTTCTATAATGGATTTGCTGGCTATAATCAACTGTTCTGGAAAGCTTTCAGATTAGGAAAGATAGGTATGTATTCCACAGGCAGGGGTTGGTCGGATTAGATGTCACTACCTTATTTTGGACATGAAGTGTTTGTCGTACCTGAAGTGGATATACATTTATGGGCTTTCAAAAACCATCTAAAGAAACTATGTGCTCCTCCTGGCTGTGGAATATGGATAAGATGCATTTAGGTGGCTTTATAATCATAAATCCATCTACTTGCACTCCGGAACTTACATGTAATATTTGGTGCATGCATGCACCAAAACTGAAATGAGGTTGTCCTTCACAAGTGCTGAGGAGGAATTGAGATTGATGTCAACGTGGTCAAAACTCTTAGCATCAAATTCAGTTTTGTCGTTTTTCATGGATTCAATGGAAGCAACCAAGTTATTTCACCGAGCTTTATCGCATCCCGCTCTGGGACTAAATTGAATTCCAACTTGAGAAAAACAACCCAGAAGGGAAACCTTATGTTAGTCCCCCGATTATCTGCAAATTCTCAATGAGGTCTCCGTTATAGGTTTTGTTTTTTTTTCTAACTAGCATAAGAGTGGGGCAATCTTCCCGCTAATACTTTCGTTTTTCATAAAGTTTAGTTGCTCTGGCAGCAAGGCCCTTTGCTCACTAGTTCCAGCGGATTCTTTCAAAGACCTACAGCCCACTGAGGCAGAGATCGGAGTTAAGGAAGAAGGCTAAAATTAAGAGCCCCATCTGTTCACGAATCAGGAAACGTTCCAATTGCATCATGATCTACTGCTGATGGAAAATTGACACATTGCTGTACTCTTTAGACAAGTTGGGCACTGATAGACCCTGCTTTGTCTTCTTATATTCACAAGTCTTGATGGCAACAGGAGAGAACAAGAGAAAACATTAAATATAACAAATTGTGGAAGGATAGAACTTTCTTGCGCTGTTTAATGTTGGAAACTACCAATAGGCCTCCCTGGTCTATTTTGGCCTTTGTGATGAGCAGCCTCTTTCTTACGAAAGTCCCAATATAGGAAGTTTGAATGGATTTGGGAAGATATAGGAAGTTTGAATGGATTTGGGAAGGATATAGGATTAATGCAATCTGTGCGAAAACTGACACTGTTTGTACATTGAACTTTTGGCAGAAACGTCAATTCATCAACCCATGTAAGGACAGTACGCGGATAAGAACATGGCTGCCAATTGAGAAATTGAAGTAAATAAATAAGCCTCATAGGAAGCATCTCATGCTCATCATGAAGTAGAAATTAGAAGTTATGGGAATTGGCAGAGGCAAAATTTCAATAGCTCTTCTTCTCTTAGTATCTTCTCTTTGTGTAGAGATTATCAGTGCCATAGATACCATCACATCAACTCAAATCCTCAAGGATCCAGAGGCTATAGTCTCTTACGGCAGTATCTACAAACTGGGATTTTTCAGCCTTGTCAATTCTACCAATCGGTATGTAGGAATTTGGTTTAATGAAATTCCTGTGGTGACTGCCTTATGGGTAGCTAATAGAAACAAACCTCTCAATGACTCATCTGGAATTTTGACCATATCCGAAGATGGAAATCTTGTAGTTTTGAATGGGCAGCAAGAGATTCTCTGGTCAAGTAACGTTTCAAACTCTGTTTCAAATTCAAGTGCACAGCTCTCTGACACTGGAAACCTTGTTTTGCGAGATAACAACGGAGAAATCAAGTGGGAGAGCTTCCAACATCCTTCCGATACATTCTTTTCCAATATGAAATTAAGTGCCAATAAAAGAACGGGTGAGAAGATTCTTATAACATCGTGGAAAAGCCCTACTGATCCATCCATTGGAAGCTTCACTGCTGGTCTAAATAATCTAGGCATACCTGAGATGTTCATATGGAAGGATAATTATCCATATTTTCGGAGTGGTCCATGGAGCCGTCAGGTCTTTATTGGAGTTCCTTATATGAATTTTGCAACTGTTTATGGGCTCAATCTAGTAGATGATGGTGAAGGTATTATTTATCTAACTTTCACTTACGCTAATCACTCCTTGTCGAGCTTTGTGTTGACTTCAGAAGGGCAAATGGAGGAAACACGTTGGGAGGATGGCATGGAGGATAGGACTGTTCTATGGAGTATTCCACAATCGGAATGTGAATTGTACGGAAAATGTGGGCCTTTCGGAAACTGTAATTCACGGAAATCACCTATTTGCAACTGTTTAAGAGGGTTTCAGCCAAAAAACCCAGAAGAATGGTATAAAGGGAACTGGACTAGTGGTTGTGTCAGGAGGAAATCATTGCAGTGTGAGAGACTAAATAATGGGAGTGAAGCTGCAGGAAAGAATGATGGACTTTTGAAGCTAGGTAATATGAAGGTGCCGGACTTTGCTCAATGGTCTCCTTCGGATGAAAATGAATGCCGAAACAAGTGCTTGACAAATTGTTCATGCATAGCTTATGCATATTATTCTGGTATTGGATGTATGTCATGGAGTGGAGATGTAATTGATCTACAGGAGTTTTCCACAGATGGGGCTGATCTTTACATCCGCTTGGAGTATTCAGAATTAGGTAAATCTCTTTATCATCTGCCTGATTTCCTAGCAAGCTTATAATGATTTAAAGTCATTTGCTGTTAAGTTAATTCAAAGAGATCTGACTTGCAGATGGAAACAGTAGACAAAAAGTCATTGTCATTCTAACTGCTATTTTAGGAACAATCAGCATGGCCATGATCTGTGCTTTTTTGATATGGAGGCTCATGTCTAAACATAGAGGTAATAAGAATATGCAAATAAATAGAACTAAACGATTTGAAAAACATGCAATTTCAACTAAGACTTGCATCTTGAATCTAACTCAGCGAGAAAGGAAAGGGGTGAGAAGTTGCGTTCTGATAAGAACTTAACACATCAAACTTTTTTTGATGGGAACATGCCTGGAGACAGCATGGACCAAGTTAAACTCCAGGAACTACCTCTTTTCAGCTTAGAGAGGCTGACTTCCGCAACAGACAACTTTGATGCATCGAATAAGCTCGGTCAGGGTGGTTTTGGTCCGGTGTACAAGGTAATGCTGTTTCTCTAGTGGCGTTTATGGTTAATGAAATTGAACAGCTACATATAAAGTGGTGTGATTGTCTAGGGAAAATTGCCAGATGGACAGGACATAGCTGTGAAAAGACTGTCAAGAGCATCTGGGCAAGGGCTAGCAGAATTTATGAATGAGGTTGTTGTGATCTCTAAACTTCAGCATCGAAACCTCGTGAGGCTGCTGGGTTGCTGTGTTGAAGGAGACGAAAAGACGCTGGTCTACGAGTATATGCCGAACAACAGTTTGGATGCAATTCTTTTTGGTTCGAACTACTGCCCTTCCTATATGCTAACTGCATTACATGTGAATCAGATTACCTTCTTTGATCATTCATTTTTTAACCTTGCGTGATTTCGTTTGTTTCTTGCTTGAATATATATAGATCCACTGAGGCAGGAATCTCTAGATTGGAAAAAACGATTCAGCATCATTGAGGGAGTTTGTCGAGGTCTCCTTTATCTTCACAGGGATTCAAGACTAAGAATTATTCATCGAGATCTGAAGGCAAGCAACATTTTGTTGGACCAAGAACTCAAGCCAAAAATCTCAGATTTTGGAATGGCAAGGATATTTGGTGGCAATGAAGATCAAGCCAATACTGGAAGGGTAGTTGGAACCTTGTAAGAGCCCTTTGATTTTCTATATTCAAGTTCCTCCCTTTACAGCATCACATGCATTGAGCTCACCTATTCAAACCATGCAAGGTCAAAAATCTTTCTCATGTTTTAATTAATGATGTTCTGCAGTGGCTATATGGCTCCTGAATATGCAATGGAGGGTAGATTTTCGGAGAAATCAGATGTCTTCAGCATTGGAGTTTTGTTGTTGGAGGTTGTAAGCGGGAGAAGAAATACTAGTTTCTATGGGAATGAGCAAGCCCTGAGTCTCTTAGGATTTGTATGTCCCAATGCATCATAAGTCATATGTAAAGCTTGAATTTTCGTTTCTGACAAAATTTAAACCGCGGCATGCTTATTTCTATTACTACTTCGCTTTGCAGGCATGGAAATTATGGAATGAAGGCAACATTTCAGCTCTAGTAGATCCAGTAATATCCGATCCGAGTTCACAGGCGGAAATATATAGATGCATACATGTTGGCCTGTTGTGTGTTCAAGAGTTCCCAGAAGATAGACCAACAGCTTCTACTGTCATTTCAATGCTGAATAGTGAAATTTCTCATCTTCCAACTCCAATGCAGCCGCCATTTGCTGAAAGGAGACACCACTTGAATGAAGAGATATTACTTCATCAAATTCATCAACAATATTCCATTAATAATGTGACACTCACAGGTGTTGATGGCAGATAATGCAAGTTCATATTGGAAAAATTTTAAGCTTCATGGGCCGGAGTGAAACCTTGAGAAATCTGTGAGTGTTAAACTATAGTTCCACTGATTCTGATAGCTTGCACCCTGGTTTTCTCTTTTCTACGAAATTTCCCACCTCTTTAGTTGTTTTGAAGCATTGATTGCTTTGAAATTAGTTGAGAATCATATAGCAAGGGTGTATTTGAATTTTTGTGAATTTTAAAATATGAAGCAGAGGTCGCCTCATTCATCTTATTTTTTTTTTAATTCTAGGATGTAAGCATAATATGATCTTAAGTGCTATTTATTTCATTTAATTCTAGGATGTAACCCTAATAGTCATATTTTGAAAGATTATAAAATTATTGAGATTGATTTTCAAAAATCTGAAGAGTACTTTGGAATTGGAAGAAGCATGGCTTCCTCTCACGCTGAGAGGTCGACCCTATCATATGTTGAAAGGGGCTCATCCACCACAAGCATGATGAAAACGTTCGGCCCTACCATATTATTTTTTCTAATTAGTTTCATTTAATTCTACAATTGTTTTTAAAAAGAAATAATTTTTTTTATTTCTTTATAAGTTAGATTTCTTTTTTTATATATATAAGTTTAGAGGTTGTTTAGGAATATAGTTGCAATTATTATTTAAAATATTTTTTGTTTAAAAATATATTAAAATAATATTTTTTTTATTTTTTTTAAATTATTTTTTATATTAACACATCAAAATTATCAAAATTATCTGAAATCACTAATTTAAAAAAATAAAAAAAAATTATTTAAAAAAATACTTTTAAAAAGCAAAAAATAAAGTTCTATTTTATAGAATTTTAAAGTATTCATTTGTAATTAATTTAAAAATATTAAAATATCTTTTTATTTTTTATTTTTAATATTATGATATTAAAAGTATTAAAAAACATTAATTTAAATATATTTTTTAAGTGAAGAATACTCTAAATAAGTATCCAAACGCAAAAGTTACCACATTTCCAAACGCATATCTGGGATTTATATTTTTCTAGTACTTGTTTTATAATCAACTGGTGAACTTATCCACATGTTCTCTTCCTGGTTCCAATCCTGCATCACCGTCAAAATCTAGGGCTCTTAATTTCAGTGGGCACCAAAACTTCATTCTGTAGAAGATAAACCTACAGAGCTCCTAGCTACTGTAATTTCAATATTGAATAGTGATATCCACAGAAGCTGCCATTTTCTGAGAGGAAGGAATTCCCACTTCAATGCAATGTAGAGTTACTTCATCTAAACACAGAAAGATTTCCATTGATACAGCCACAGTTTCTCGTGTCTGGCGGCAGAAAATTAAATCCTGTCAACAAAAATAAAATAAAATACTAAAAGACGACAAGAATAAATATTTTAATTCAAATATTTATTATTGAATATTTTCTTTATTAATATCTTGATATAAAAATTCTACTCAAGCAGAAACAATACAAAAAAAATAAAATGGTAAGCATAAATAATAAAGAATTTTTCATTCATGTATGCGGACAAGGGGTGATCAGATCAATTAAGGAAAAATTAGATATCACAAAATCATAAACAATAATTCAGTAGCTAACCATAAGCCTTTGAAAGATTAAAATATTTAAAATAAAAATAAAATTACTTGACCAGAGTATCGTATAAAATTAATCAACTGTTAAATATGTTAATAAATACAAAAGTAAGTCAGTATAACTTGTTTAACTTGGCTAGCCAAAAGTGAAATAGTTATTATGCTTAAATGATGATGAAGTTAAAAATATAATTTCACACTACCATCATTTTAACATCTACCTAACCTTAGCTTAAAGGTATAATAACATATATTATCAAATAATTAAATGATAAAATAAAAAGTAGAAAGTAAAATAGACAAATAGCAACACATTATATTAACATGTAAAATTTAGAACTAGAATAATGGAAACAATCATAATCAGTTAACTAAATTAGAGATTAGAATTCTTTTTTTATTATTTTTCTTTTTTTATTATTTTTCCAATTGAGTCTTGATTAGGTATTAATTAACCGTCAAGTTGGATTGAATCTAGAACTAAATTAAGGAGTTATAATAGAATTAAAAATAAAATTTAATAAATAAATATAGAAGAATAAAACTTAAAAAACATGAGCATTAAAAAAATGAGCAAATTTTTTAAATCTAGGTTAGTTTTTTAAACTCATAACTCATAAAATCCTATATTTGAATTCAACCAATAAGCTCAATTTTTAATTAATTTAATGTTAAATAATGAAATAAAAAATAATATTTTAATCTAAAAATTTATCAAAGTAAAACAAATAACAATAAAAAAAATAAAGATAAAATTTGATATAAAAATAAAATCAAATCAAATGTTGAGTGATGAAGTGAAAATCCAAATTCAAATAAGAAAGGAATTAGAACAAAATAAATAATAAAAAAAATGAGGATAAAATTCAATAAATAAAAAAATTAAAGGAAGATGAAATTAAAAAAATAATTTTATAAATCACTTTAAATAATAATAATAATAATAATAATAATTAAAAAGATAGGGACAAAATCTAAAGGCCGAACAAAATGAATGACTAATTTGAAAGTTTAAAGGTTAGAAACAAAAATCAAGAAGATAAAAAGGAAAATAAAAATATCATCATTACTAAACTAAAAGTTTATATACCACACATTTTATCTAAAAATAAAAATAAAAAAGATGCAAATACAATTCAAATATTACCTCATAAGCTATTGCATTTAAATACATTACTCAAGTAAAAGATATTATAAATGTTGACCTATGCAGCATTGTCCATGCCAGTTAATTTTTAAAAAATTATTTTTTAAATTTATTTAAACAAATTATTTTTATTCAATGACAATAATAAAAAAATACTTAAATAAAAATATAAAAAGATCCTTAAACACTAATTAAAAAACTTTTTGCTTTAAAAAATAATTTAATCATTTTACTATGTTGTAGAAAGTAAAAGATCTAAAAAGCACTTTGATATTAATACTAAGATCCTTTTTTTTAATAATAATTTATTTTTTTCATTTTACTTAAAAAGTAAAAAAGATAAATCTATCTTTAATTAATCTAATAACAACCAAAATAATGAGAAAAAAACCAAATTATCTATGATAGCAAGGCCGTTGATTTTTCTTTGGAAATGTGAAATGATAATTACATTGTTACGTGAATAATGATTTTACTTTGCTCTTTTTTTATTATTATTATTATTATTATTATTATTATTATTATGTTGTTGTTGTTGTTGTTATATGTTATGTTGTCTCTGTGTTGAACACTTGGCTTGCACATTAGTTTTCTCCGTTCTCCATCGACAGTCCCGCCCTGATCCCCCTGCATTTATCACGTTTGTCTGTAGCAAAAGTTCCTCTGAACTAGCAACTTTCTTCTAGTCTTTCTGAGTACTCGTCTCGATTCCCGTTTTTCCACCTGTTACGTGTAATTTTTGCTTCAAGCTACATATGTAGGATAGTCGTGATAGCAGAGCCATCTCTCACATGTATCACATTAGCAGCTACGTACTGAGATTTTATCATTTTCCAAGCTCTAAACGTTTTTGGGTGTCATAGTTTCCAAATTTCCTACCGATTTGACTCGGAGATTGTAGCTTGGGAATTGAGCACGAGGTGGGTTCCCATTATGAATAACGCCAAATTTATCTTCAAAAGTACAGGAAAAATAGCAGCTGTTGGTTGGTTAGATGATACCACTACCTAGTTCTGGACTCAAAGTAGTGGACATGGAGACCCTGCAAAATATGTGTGCCTTAAAACACCATCTTCGAGGAATATCTTGTCTTTTGGATTCGGATTATGGATTAAGCACGCTTTTTAATCGGAAATATGTCTCCTCTCAACTAAAGAAATCTTAGGTAATATTATGTAGGGGTGAGAAAAAAAAATAAAAAATCAATTAAATTGAGAAAACTGAAAAAAATAATTGAAAAAATCAAAAAATAAAAAAAACCTATTAAACCCATTAAAATTTTTAAAAAATTCATCGATTCAATTCGGTTTTAGTTAATAAACTAGAAACCGAAAAAATTAAATCAAATCAAAGCAGTTCAATTTCAAAGAAAAAGTACTATAAAAGCCCCTTCTAAATTTTTAACCCTAACACTCCCCTAGCATCGCAGCCGCCCCCTAAAGCACACAACTCTCAAATCTCAATCTCTCATTCTAGTCATCTAACACAACTTCAACAAAACTTCAATCTTCATCTTGAGATCTAACAATCCAGGGACTGGTTTAGTGTATGCTTCAAATCTTCATCTTCAAGGCTTTAATTTTTATATTCTCTCATCGTGGTTTTGTGTCCCTTTTTTTTTTAAGGTTGACGCATCTCCTACTATAATTCCTGCTAAGGCTGAGAAAAAAGATTAAAACTTTGTACATCATGAGTTACTATACTTCGTTGTTTACATAAAGCTCTTTATTTTAAAAGTTTGTTTTTTGTTTAGCTTTTATATTGGTCGTATGTTAGATGGACAAGTTTCAAGCACACTGATTTTGACACCCCATAATCCTTCATATTAGCTTTAGATATAGTTGTTCTACTCGTCCTTATAATGATACAGGTTTTTTTTTTGCTTTCTATGGATGTTACTATCCTCCTAAACAATAATCACATTTTATTGTTCTAACTTACATATTGTATAATTGGAATGCACTGAGTGATAAGAAGTCATTCTCCTTGCAACTCTTTGTTGTCTTACCAAAACTCTATAGTTTGCAGTCCCATGATAGTTTTCATGAAGCTAATGATAGATTTATTGTTTGTTGAGTAATTAGGCTTTTGAAATTGTGGGGTTTGTAGGGAAGAACAAGAGGGAAGCTGAAGAAGCTATAGAAAAGATTGTTAAAAAAACCCGGTCAGTTTGAATATAGGTTTTTCTGGTTTTTATATTAAAAAATTAAATCGAACCAAACCAAAACTGGTCGGTTTGAATTGATTCCAGTTTGGTTCTAGTTTAAATTTTTTAATTTTTTAATATTTTATTTTAATTATTTTTTAAATAAAAATTAAACCGAATAAAAAAAAAATATTATATCACGTAAATGGAAGCATTGAATTAGACAATCTTATTGCAATTGCGTATGTGGTTGGAATGCATAGGTTTAGATGGTATAAATGGGTTTTTGTTCTCTATATTATCATTTAAGATGAAATGATATAATTAATTTTTGCCATCAACATATTTATTTTAAATTACTCCAAAAAAATCTATATTCTTGAAAAGATAATTTGATGCATTAGATTTGATATGATAGTTATAAAATTATGAACATATTTAAAAATATAGTTATAATTATTTTTTTTAAATGTTTTTCATGTTTAAATATATTAAAAT